ATATTATATATATATATATATATATATATATATATATATATATATATATATATATATATATATATATATATAATTCAATGGACAAATATTAGTGTTTATGGCCTTTGACTTGTGTTCTGCAGATTATGACACTTGTCTTCTTTAATACATAGATATATTTGGGGGAGACGAAACGAAGCCTGTTGTCTTGCATCCGTGGACGATATGTCCTAAAGAAATAAATGAAAATTGTGTGTGCTCATCGAAGATGGTCGACGGGAACGTCCTTTGCAGTTTGGTTGAATCCGATTGCTTGCGGATCTTACTTGCTTCTGCCCCATGATTTAGTGGGTTGGTGGAAGCCCAAATTGACGGCTACGTGGTTGGTGGAGGGAAACGCCAGAGTTGATTCCGTCCAAGATGCCATCCCATGTCAGCACATCTTTCCCCCCATCCTTGGATTTGGATGTCCTTCTCAAACCTCCCATTTTGTCAAATCCTGACATCCGCACGTCCATTTCCGTGATCGATACAATGATGCGCTCCACATCAATTGACGGTAAGAGATCGGCCGCCAGAAGCGTGGAATGCTTCTCCTCGACCATTCAGCATCCCCAGAAATAAAAAGAACGAAATGGTGGATTCCCGACGGGAATGTGTCGGTCAAACTCAACTTGGCATGCTTCTGACCCAACAAACAACGCTTCGGCCACTCGGTGGCAACTTATACTACGTTTGTCGTGGCAGAAGGGATCTACCGACGATGGTGCGGTGGTGAGGCTGTCGATCGATGGGAGACAAGTAGGAACAGCCTCTTCTATAACTTTCCGGCGGGAGCATACGGGCCTGCTGTAGTGTCCAGGCCGGCCACGATGTGCCAACCTCCGACGATCTGCTATTATCTCCCTCCCGGACGCGCACAATGGGCCTGCCATAGCGTCATCGTGAATTTGGCGACGCCAATGCATTCTAGAGGATAAGGGAGGCTTCCGGAAAAATCAAACCCCGGAAAATTTATCCTATTCTCGTTCGCCCATACTCAGTCCATCGTCATCTCCTCTTTAGTCTTTCATTTTTTTCTTCTTTCCTCCTCGGAGGGGAAGGAGACGACGATCGAGAAGAAACGAGGAGCGTGGTGTTATAAGTGATGGATGGATGCGACGGTGATCGAACATCATCGGCCAATACTAATGAATTTTTTAGATAAAATTTTTTTCCCCGAGGAAAGGGCGACTTCTTTTTATAGCATCTCATCCTTCGTGCGGGTGTGATGACATTAAGCACATCGAAAAGCATGATCGGATCTCCTTTCCTGTTCTCGTGGTAATCCATCATGAAGGTCAAAATTTTTACCTCGTTATCATGTCAAATCTTATTACGTTGCTGCTTTTGTGCTTTTATGCATTCTTAATGTTTTTTTTCTTCTTTTCTCCTTTTAACATCCTATGCTCCGCCACTGTCATCTGAAAGGATCATAAAACTAAGATCCACTGAAAAGTCAGCATTGGGCATATTGGACCACCTCCCTTGTCACTTGCCAAACACGTGTGGGGCCGACTTGGTCGGTGGTAGGAGGAGATCGACAGACATGCTCTTCTGCTACGCTGCCCCGATCTCCCTCTCCGTCTCTTTTGTTTGCCTTCCTACTTCCTCAGATATCAACATTCGACGCTGTTGCCGTGCCGCCACCGCTCTTTCCAAAGAAGAAAAATAATATATGATTCTTTTCAAACAAAGCCTGTGAATAACGTATCACAATCTATTCCTATATATTATCCGATACATATATAGCAAAATCACATCACCACACATTCTCTCTTACACCAATATTTACAGAAAATGAAAATAAATAAAAGAACGTAATGGAACTGCACGTTTGTGTTTTTCGGGAAGCAAATCGATTCATACTATAACCCTTGTCCTTCAGCCGAGTCAGTTGTTTCCTCCGTTGATACCTCCGATGGGGCCGGACGGCGGCACGGGTCCTCTAGGAAGCATGGAGAAGGCCAGCTGCGCCACGTCGAGTTTCTTATTCGTCGACCTCCTGCTCGAATGATCGAGGGCGGAGCTTTCTTTTGGTAACCCAACGTTGAGACCCCGCGTTGCACCGCATTGGTGACACCCGAGCAAGAGCAGGAGGAGGAGTAGGAGAGACAGAACTCTGATAGATTTTGTCGTACTGACGGCCATATTGGAGAACAAGAAAGAGCAAACTTTGTGACCACTAGATGCTTTGGGCAAAGGTGGAAGCGGCAGCAGCAGCGGAGAGAGAGAGAGAGAGAGAGAGAGAGAGAGAGAGAGAACTTTATCACCACTAGATGCTTTGGGCAAAGGTGGAAGCAGCAGCAGAGACAGAGAGATGAGGAGACCCGGGAAAGCCGATGAATGGTGGAGGAGGAGGAGGAGGTGATGTTGGATGGCTTTTAATACGACGAGGAGTGCAAGCAGCAGCGGCAGCAGTGCATGCCAAGAGCCCGATCGGAATGTCCACAACGAATTGTTTCGAGTTACAAGTGGGAGGCTACACCTGTACACCACTCCACCATAAAGCTCATGGATGATATCTAAAGAACACCTACCTAAACGCGATGCTAGTCGGTGCCGTATCCAACAGTTGGGTCATCCCGTTGTACTTGCGGCCGCGGAGATGGATCTCCGGAACGCAAGGAAACTTTGTTAGGTTCGATGCATATATCATTCATCACACGGTAAATGCCACACCCCAACGAGTCAACTCGTAGCGTTCTTCATTTCGTCGTTCTAAAATTTCTGCAAGTTATTCAATGATAATAATAAGTAATTTAAGATAAGATGGACAGGCAAATTAAATTGGGAGTTGATCGGGAGGGTCAACAAGAACACCAACGACCCCCTCCCACTTTGTAGTTGGAACACCGCGGGAAAGGAAGCCGACCGACCGACCGACCGACCTTCCTCGGCGTGTCTCGCTACGTGTTTGCCTCTTCGACACGTTCCACACCAACAGTGGCTGGGTCCGAACTCCGCCTCCACTTCCGAGTGGCTGATGCATCTCATTCCGCGGCTTCAGCTGCAACATTTGTGTGGGAATGGCATCATGCCGCTGACTAATAATTCTACGCGCAGGCGAAGCAGGACGATGACGGTGCCCACCAAACATGGAGGCGGTTGCCATCTTTTGTGGAACCCAGGAATGGCCTCCGTATGAAAAGAGCCACTGGCACGGGTTTCGATCTTTACATTCGTCACAATCACAATGGTCGAATAATCATCTTCTCAGGAGGAGTTTAATCCGTGGTATCAGTCAAAATGTTCTTTCTTGGCAACTCGATCTGCTTCTCTCTCTCGCGGGGTCATGATCCAATTCGATCTGCTTCGTTGAAGGAGCTCCTTTCATCAGCCTCGACTATCTGGACATACCGTCTTCGTAGATCAAACTCGACGGGGGCAGAAAGGTTGATAACTAAGCGTACGTCGAATACCAAATACAAATGAAAGCAGAAGCAATAAACTTTACACGCCCAGCTCAGGGCAAAGGCTCTTTTGTGTAGACATATGAGTTCTAGGAATCGAAGAACAAGAAAGAAAGCTTTATGAGTCGTATAAATCGAAGAACGAGAATGAAAGAGAAGAAGCTTTTCGTGTTCTGTGTGTATGCTTATGACTCGTGTTGTAAACGGAGACGAAGCTCAAAACTCCTACTGAATAATGAATGCTGTCTGTGAATAGATGTGCCGTGGCTCGTTAGTCAGCACGGCCTGGTCCACGGGTCGATATCGAGAGTGTCCCATCGGTTGAGCTGGACGCCGAAACGTCGATCGGCCCTCGGTGTCGGGTTCTTGATCAGCGTTCCTCAGCCTGGAGGCTGAATAGTTGATGGCTCACCTGCGAGGTCGTCGGTCGACGACTTTCGAGGTTGGGGTGCCCATGAATCGTGGGTGGCCGCTTTCCTGCAGAAAAAGGCCTTCGTCGGGTGATCCCCGACCGTGGCCCCTCCGACGAGCAAGTTAGTTGAATGTTTTTTCCCCTCCCAAAATCTCCATTTTGTGGGTATCCACGAAGGGTTCTTATACTATGGCACGAGGGTGGGTCGTACGCGGTTCGAGGTGATGGGAGTGTCGGATAGTATCTCAGCACGCATGGGCTCTGACCTTGCGTGCGAGGGTGGTGACGTCCTGCATTTATCAGAATGAGGCGTGTGGGATGTCATGACGTGTGACATTTTAGTATGGATTCTGACTTTGCGTGTGGGATGTGGTGACGTGCCTTGGGTCCATAATTTATCATATCACTTCTCCCTCCCCTCCAAGGCGTGCCACGGGGTCCTCGGAGGGCCAGGAGGCATGCTGGTGTCGGAGTGATGCTTGGGTTGGATTGACTCATCGTGAGATGATCTAGAGAGGTGGCACCCAACACCTTGGGCGGGATTGATTCTGTTGATCGGGCGTTGGATCGATCGGGTGGCTGTGCTTGGGGTCAACGGGTCGCAAGTCGGGAGCGATCTGTAGCGATGCGGGCATGAGCCGAACCTTGTGGACCGAGCGACTATGCTCGGGCTCAGGTTTTGGTGCCGACGGGTCGCAAGTCGAGAGCGATCTGTAGCGACCCGGGCATGAGCTGAACCTCGTGGGCCGAGCGACTATGCTCGGGCTCAGGTTTTGGTGCCGACGGGTCGCAAGTCGGGAGTGATCTGTAGCGACCCGGGCATCAGCTGAACCTTGTGGGCCGAGCGACTATGCTCGGGCTCAAGTTTTGGTGCCGATGGGTCGTAAGTCGAGAGCGATCTGTAGTAACCTGGGCGTGAGCTGAACCTTGTGGGCCGAGCGACTATGCTCGGGCTCAGGTTTTGGTGCCGACGGGTC